GGAGATGTAAACAGTGGAGATGTAAACAGCTGGAGAGGTAAAACAGCTGGAGAGGTAAACAGCTGGAGAGGTAAACAGCTGGAGATGTAAACAGCTGGAGATGTAAACAGCTGGAGATGTAAACAGCTGGAGATGTAAACAGCTGGAGATGTAAACAGCTGGAGATGTAAACAACTGGAGATGTAAACAGCTGGAGATGTAAACAGCTGGAGATGTAAACAGCTGGAGATGTAAAAAGCGGAGAGGTAAACAGCTGGAGAGGTAAACAGCTGGAGATGTAAACAACTGGAGATGTAAACAACGGGAGATGTAAACAGCTGGAGATGTAAACAGCTGGAGATGTAAACAGCTGGAGATGTAAACAACTGGAGATGTAAACACGTGCCTTGTTTAATTATTGTAGAAAACACAGAACTGGCAGCAGTACCCAAGGTCCTCCCTTCTCCAGTGCTTGTAATCCAACTATCCTAGCTGCCTACTATCCACACGGACGCACATCCCCCCGGCGTGTGGGGGGAAAGGGGGGTAGGGATAGAGGGGTTTCTGTGTGGTCGATGGTCATCCATCTTCAGTTTTGAGGTCTGACACTAGAGGGATTTCCGGCGTTGCTCGGGGCGATGATGCCATCATTAATATATATATATATATAGATATATATATATATAATATATATATATTATTTATATATATATATATATATATATATATATATATATATATATATGCTGGTTAGCATTGTAAATGTCTGGCCACGTTTGTGGTAGAAAATAATAATAATACAAAACTACACACTACTGTATCTTCATTGTTAAACGCACAACTGTATCTTCATCACTATAACACATACTACTGTATTTGTTACCCAGACACAGTCCTCGCACGGGTTTGTCACAACCCATCCTCAGACCAAGTCCATTCCATCCAGCAGTCGACCCCCAAAGACGCATTCATCAAGTTTAACAGAAATATTCTCCAATATAAATTAATATTATTATATATTAGCATATTGTGCGTATTTAGGCATTGGTTAGGTGTTTAGGTTCTGTTGGCGATTATTTGTAGTACGTGGGTGAAGCATTTACAGCGTTGTGGTTCGAACAAAAGTCGTCAGCGAAGCATTTGTTCGAAAAGTGTTCGGACGTCATCAGTTGTGAGTCGTGTGTAAGCCGTTTTTCTTTCATAAACAGCGGGTTTGGCGGGTGGATGGAATGGTCTTTGGTCATTGCTTATGAGGACGTGCTTGTTTTGAAGACGGGCTGCCGTGCTAACTACCGTCCTAACTGCTCACTTCTAACTGCCAAGGGCCGTTAGAAGTGAGATTCCAGTTCAGTACCTAGCTAACGCGATTCCGCAATCATGGACTTTTGCTAACTGGCGCACTGCCAGCTAGCCTAAAAATATGAATTGCAATGCGGATACTGTGAGCTGATTGGCCAAAGCTAGCCTAGCAATTTTATTTGTCATTCACCCTCCCAATACTGTAAACTAATTGGCTCCTGCCTTTACCCCATAGTCCATTCATCTATGCATTATTCTCTATAGCTGATTGATTCCTGCTCATGTCCTAGTTGAAATTGAAATGCAGCAGTTTCAACTCTTCAGTCTCAATATAGAAAAAATGGTGCCAAACCACGTGGACGGTCGGGGATTGAACGCCGACCTGCATGAAGCGAGACCGTCGCTCTACCGTCCAACCCAAGTGGTTGGGATTAATTAGCTTAATCACGCAGTTACTTTGGTCTCTCTGATTTAAATTATCAACATAATTGGTGCAATCTTCTTGCATGGGCCTTCGAGCTGTTTCTTCTTCTGTTTCTCTAAAGTACATCCGGGCACTTAAAAGCGATCTGTGCCCACCGTGGTACTTGTGGCTGGCTCGCCCAGACGGTGGTCGTGCTCTGAGCTCTCTCGTGTTTCTGTAGAGTGAGCGACTTTATCCATATGCACAGTAGTATAAGGAAGCATTGACTCCTAATGCTGAGTTGTATAGGAGGAACATTATCCTTATACACAGTAGTATTAGGAAGCATTGACTCCTAATGCTGAGTTGTATAGGAGGAACTTTATCCTTATACACAGTAGTATTAGGAAGCATTGACTCCTAATGCTGAGTTGTATAGGAGGAACTTTATCCTTATACACAGTAGTATAAGGAAGCATTGACTTCTAATGCTGAGTTGTATAGGAGGAACCTTAGCCTTATACACAGTAGTATAAGGAAGCATTGACTCCTAATGCTGAGTTGTATAGGAGGAACTTTATCCTTATACAAAGTAGTATTAGGAAGCATTGACTCTAATGCTGAGTTGTAAAGGAGGAACTTTATCCTTATACACAGTAGTATTAGGAAGCATTGACTCCTAATGCTGAGTTGTATAGGAGGAACTTTATCCTTATACACAGTAGTATAAGGAAGCATTGACTCCTAATGCTGAGTTGTATAGGAGGAACCTTATCCTTATACACAGCTATATTAGTAGGCAATGACTCTTTATGCTGAGCTGTATATGAGGAAATTTATCCTTATACACAGTTGTATATGGAAGGATCATATTCCTATACACATTTGTATAGGGAGAGGACGACTCATTATATAAAGTTCTATAGGACGGGACTATATCCTTAAACACAGTTGTTTAGGGATAGATCGTATCCCTTTACACAACAAACTATTCTTAATTTCTCTATCACGTGTCTAAAAAAAAAATCCCTGACTGGGATTTTCAGACTTCAACACACATGCCTTGTAAGATGTTGCTTGGATTAACATGCCATGATATTACCATTGGAAATTCTTTAAAGCATTTTAATTAAAGTATTTTATCCCGGCTCCTAGCGGACGGTAGTTATGCTTGCGATGTACACTTGATCGATCAATTAGGGCGTTATTAGAGACGTTAACTGTAGTTAAGCAATGTATTAGAGCAGGCACGGGTCCCCCCCGTATCAAGTTGGTTGTAAGTTAGAGCAGGCACGTAATACCATATTAGAGCAAGCACATAATACCAACTTTAGATCAATCACAAAATATCAAGTTTATGCAAACATGAAATAGAAAGTTAGACTAGGCACGTAATTCCAAGTTAGAGCAGACCTGTAATATGAAGTTTGAGCAAGCATGTAATACCAAGTTAGAGCTGGCAAGTAGTACCAAGTTAGAGCTGGCAAGTAGTACCAAGTTAGAGCTGGCAAGTAGTACCAAGTTAGAGCTGGCAAGTAGTACCAAGTTAGAGCTGGCAAGTAGTACCAAGTTAGAGCTGGCAAGTAGTACCAAGTTAGAGCTGGCAAGTAGTACCAAGTTAGAGCTGGCAAGTAGTACCAAGTTAGAGCTGGCAAGTAGTACCAAGTTAGAGCTGGCAAGTAGTACCAAGTTAGAGCTGGCAAGTAGTACCAAGTTAGAGCTGGCAAGTATAGTACCAAGTTAGAGCTGGCAAGTAGTACCAAGTTAGAGCTGGCAAGTAGTACCAAGTTAGAGCTGGCAAGTATAGTACCAAGTTAGAACAATCAAACAATACTAGATTAGAGCAGGCACGTAATACAAGTTAGAACAGGCACATAATATCAGTTAAAACAATCAAATAATACCAAGTTAGAACAGACACGTAATACCAAGTTTGATTAGGTGTGGGGAAAAACTGACTCGTGGGATTTATTAATTTATTTACAATTTATATTTATATTAATTTATATATTACGTTTATTTATTTCAATAGCAGACTGTATGATGTTTAAAGTGAACTGTATGATTTAAATTCCCATAAATCGTTTCCTACACGTTCTGTTTTTTTATTAAATTATATATATAGTTTATCAATCAAAATTATTGATTAGCAGACATTCACTACAATATTAGACTACATATATTAGTTATTGATATTAAAACAAACACAACTTATCTGTATTGTTGATTTTGGCCTGGACAATCACACGAATGATCACAGACAAATACTTCTTTCGTGAGTGAGGCTGACTTCACATTTACTGGTTGTGCTAGATAATTCTTAATTCTTCTTCCCTTTCAATTTCACCTGTCCCCTTCACCTGTCAAAGGGAACCCACAATAACAGTAAGCTATATATGACAGGTATACCAGGGGAAATATTGGCAATTTATTAAGATTTAATTAATATTTACCCTGTTTGGTTGCTCGCCTAGTGTCCTAACCAGTACACACTAACCTACCTAACATTACTGGCCAGGAATTAATAGACAATGGGTTTTGGCGGCGAACACTTCCCTGATTGTAGGCGAAGATAGTGTTGATGGTGGGAGTTCTTTGAACCCTATAACACTACGTCAGTAGGCTAAATTATGACTACGATCGTGACTAAATTATGACTACAATGAGGAGAACCTCGGGGAGGGGGACGTTCATAGTCATAATTTACCCTACTAACGTCTAGAGGGAAAATTGTGAAGCATGTTGGAGCTCCATGCAAAACTTGTTAAAATTTATCAATGGCGACTACTCCTTCTCCGCTGATACATCCGGTGTCCACACCAGATGTCGTTTTATCAAGAAGTGGAAAGAGCTAATATTTAATCTATTTTTAGTACTGATAATTAAGTTCCTTCAAGGGAAATCATTTTATGATGTTTACAGTCCAAAGACTGATGTATTAAGAAGATTTCCTATAATATATTTAGTGAATTCAATGACGGCATATGGCAATGATTTCCCCGTTTTTTTCCGAGGTAATTTCCACTGGAGCCACGTTTTCTTTGAGGTAATTTGTTATTACTAAACAGCAGTATTATCATCTTCCTATTGTATTAAATGTTTATAAATGGTGTCAGTTTTTCCGACAGTAGGCATGTAATACCAAGTTAGAGTAGGCACGTAATACCAAGTTAGAGCAGGCAATATTACCAAGAGAAGGCACGTAATATGAAGTTAGAATAGGCACGTAGTACCAAGCTAGAGTAAGCACGTAATACCAAGTCAGAGTAGGCACGGGGCGTCGTCGGTAGCAACCCACTGACTTTCCTCTGTCGTGCAGTGGGGAGACGTCTGCGGAGAATATGGAGGCTACGCTGACGATGATTGAGGAGAAGTCGCAGCGGGTGCTGACAAGGACCCATCATGCCAGGTTGAGGGAGGTGGTGAGCGACTACGCCGCCGGCAGGATACCCATCGATCACCTCCTCGTCACCACCAGGGACCTCCTCAACTCCCCTGACAAGGTGAGGGGTTGGGTGGTGCGGGCACTGGGTAAGGGAGAAGAGGTCCCCCAAAAAAATGCCGATAGGGAAAATGGGATAGGAAGGGAACCTACCTACCTGAAGGGAAAGGGAAGGGTCACGATTTTAGTGGGGGGGGGGATAGGTGTGGGTGGGGAGTGGGGGTGGAAAGAGGGAGGGAAAACGGAAATGTTTGCCAGGAAAGTAAAAATGTGGCTGGATAAAATAGTCAAGCGCGAAGTTAAAAGGTTCGTGTTGACATTTGAATACAAGTTCACAGGATCGTACTGCAAGGTCAAGTCGACTGTGTAACGTCAAGTTTTTTTTTCAGTGCAAGGTGTGGTTTTACAGCGCAAGGTTAAGTTCACAATGCAAATTCAAGTTCACACGACAATTTCATGTTCATATTGCAAGGAAGTCACTCTCGTAGTGTACATGTAGGTTGACAGTGCGAGGTCACGTTCATATTAGTTAGCGTTTCATTGCAAGATCAAAAGTTCACAGTACAAATAAGCCCACAAGGAAAGTTCACAATGAAAAAATGAGCTCACAACATTACTAGCCCATGTTTACACGGCAAAGATTCACGACCCTGCAAGATGAAGATCAAAACATTGCAATATTTCACAGTAGTTAAACATTACGCTACTCCTTCACGGTGATATCACCAAATCCTCAGGCTCGTCTCGTCCAAGCTGGTACTCAATATAAACTACATTTTCTCGCATATAAATCAATATTAATGTATATTTAAAGAGTTATGTACAAACAATTAAACCAATATAACACGAAATATATATATGAGGAAATCTTCGTGGCAGTGTAATAGGAATGAATTAAGAGTCAAGGTTCACCTGTGACACTCATACTAATGTGTAGGTGTGTCTAGACCCCAGGGCGCTAGTCCGATAAAACACACACACACACACACACACACACACACACACACACACACACACACACACACACACACACAGGTTCCTACCTGGACAAGCTGCAGGAATGGTCGAACAAATGGCTGTTAGAGTTTAATCCAAGCAAATGTAATGTAATGAAGATAGGGGTAGGAAGCAGGAGACCAGATACAAGGTATCACTTGGGAGATGAAATACTTCAAGAATCCGAGAGTGAGAAAGACCTGGGGGTTGATATCACGCCAGACCTGTCCCCTGAAGCTCATATCAAGAGGATAACAGCAGCAGCATATGCCAGGTTGGCTAACATAAGAACGGCCTTTAGAAACTTGTGTAAGGAATCTTTCAGAACATTATATACCACATATGTCAGACCAATCCTGGAGTATGCGGCACCAGCATGGAGTCCATATCTAGTCAAGCATAAGACTAAACTGGAAAAGGTTCAAAGGTTTCCCACCAGACTAGTACCCGAGCTGAGAGGTATGAGCTACGAGGAGAGACTACGGGAATTAAACCTCACTTCGTTGGAAGACAGAAGAGTTAGGGGGGGACATGATCACCACATTCAAGATCCTCAAGGGAATCGACAGGGTTGATAAAGACAGGCTGTTTAACACAAGGGGCACATACACTAGGGGACACAGGTGGAAACTGAGTGCCCAAATGAGCCACAGAGATATTAGAAAGAACCTTTTTAGTGTCAGAGTGGTTGACAAATGGAGTGCATTAGGAAGTGATGTGGTGGAGGCTGACTCCATACACACTTTCAAATGTAGATATGATAGAGCCCAATAGGCTCAGGAACCTGTACAACTGTTGATTGACAGTTGAGAGGCGGGACCAAAGAGCCAGAGCTCAACCCCCGCAAGCACAACTAGGTGAGTACACACACACACACACACACACACACACACACACACACACACACACACACACACACAGAAGAGTAAGACAGACAGAACAGAAGAGTAAGGACACATGATCACTACCTATAAAATCTTTAGGGGAATCGACAGGGTAGACAAGGAAGGATAAACTATTCAACACTGGTGGTACGCGAACAAGGGGACGCAGGTGGATTACCGAAACGAGCCACAGGGACATTAGAAAGAACTTTTTCAGTGTCAGAGTAGTTAACAGATGGAATTCATTAGGCAGTGATGTGGTGAAGGCTGACTTCATACACAGTTTCAAATGTAGATATGATAGAGCCCAGTAGGCTCAAGAATCTGTACGCCAGTAGATTGACAGTTGAGGGACCAAAGAGCCAGAGCTCAACCCCTGCAAGCACAAATAGGTGAGTATACACACACACACACACTGTTAAAAAGGATTTTCTTGCTATGTATAGTTAGGCCTAGGATGGAAAGCTAGGCATATTGGTTCTGTTATTAGTTATCGAACCTGTCCTCAGGCAAAGCTCGCAAGAGTGCCCACCGACCCCTGTCAATTTTAATCGTGTATTAGACAAAAAATTTGTCTACTGCTTTCTAATATATAATTTATTTTTATAATATATATTAGTGTTATATGTGCAGTTAGAAGTAGGTTAGGTTAGATTAGATGTTAAGGTTCTGTTAACAATTATTTGCATTGGTAGTACGTGGGAGGGAATTATCACGGGAAAGTGCTAAGCCATTACAACTATTTTTCTTGGGAAGAGGTCAGGATAAGGATTTGGGATGGGAAGAGGGAAAGGAATAGTGCCCAAACCCTTGGACGGTCGTGGATTGAACGCCGACCTAAATGAAGCGAGACTGTCGCTCTACCATCCAGCCCAAGTGTTTGGGTGAAGCATTGATAGAGTTGTGATACCAACACCAACCTGACTTCAGGCAAGGCTCATTAAAGCAGCGTCCGTCCCCCCCCCCCCACCCCCTCCCCGATGTATTCATCAGTTTGAACATACTACGAATTAAAAATAAGTTTGCTATATAAATTATAGTATTATATATATTAAAGTTTTATGTATAGCTAAGCGTAGGTTAGGTTAGGTTAGGCTAGGCATAGGTTAGGTTGGGCGTAGGTTAGGTTAGGCATAGGTTAGGTTAGGCGTAGGTTAGGTTAGTCATAGGTTAGGTTAGACGTAGGTTAGGTTAGACGTAGGTTAGGTTAGGTTAGGTGTTGGTTAGGTTAGTCATAGGTTAGGTTAGACGTAGGTTAGGTTAGACGTAGGTTAGGTTAGGTTAGTCGTAGGTTAAGTTAGGCATAGGTTAGGTTAAGCGTAGGCTAGGTATTTAGGTTCTGTTGGCGATTATTTATATTTGAAGCACGTGGTTGAAGCATTTACAGCAGTGGGATTCATACAGACGTCACCAGCGAAGCACTCCTCGAGAAGTGTTGTAGAACCAAACTCCATAAATAATTTAAAAAGTAAATATAATAGGCAAATATTTAATTCACCTGAGCTGCATGGGTCTCGAACCCTGGCCCCACACGCATGTTAGACTAACGCTCGATTTTTTAATAGGGAAATAGGTCAGGTGTCATTGCATTAAATAACTGGGGACTAGAAAGGCAGGGTCCAAGAGCTAATACTCGAGCATGCAGACACAAATAGGTAAGTACCGCGCCTCGTGCTAAGTGGACAGGGCTCGGGAGTTCCAAACATGAGTGCTCTCCACTCTCACTCACCTGAGTCTGAACAAGACGTCGCTCATAATGTTGAAAACCACCAACGTACGTGAGACCCGTCAATGAGCAGGCAGCGCCAGCAAGAAGTCCCTCCCTAAACTGGCACATAAATGCGAAATAATTCAGTGAGATGAATCACACGTCTCTAGAGAATTCAAGAGTCGTAGGAAAAATGATCAAGACATACAAGATACACATAAGAGATTAGAGAATAAAGATGGACGGGCTGCATAAAAGGCCTGACTAGACAGAGAAGAGAGAGACAGAAGTATTCATATGAATGAGATCATAGCCCTGGAAACACAAACCGAAACTGTCTCTATTTTCCGCTTGTTACAACTTGAAATAAAGTTGTTACATCTTGGCTTAACGTGTTTATGACGTATTAGAACGTGGTTACAACTTGCTATATTGGTTGTTATAACTGGTTAGATGGTGTTAAAACTTGCTCGAACGTTGTACCAACGTCGTAGTTTCGGTGTGTGTTTGGTGGGAGACGACGAGATTCAGCCGACGTCTTTCTAGCGTTGTGACGCGAGCCCAAGAGTTTAAGCACAACCGCCTCACAGCTCGGTGAGTGCAGGTAGGTGAGTACACACAGTTACATTGGACAGCATCCAACATGGAGATAAAACTTGTATGAAATATATATATTTTTCATTCAGAGATATTTATACAAATATTAAAATTCAACTACAAGGTGATATAAAATTTGGACTGAACGTTCTGATCCAATATGTACATCTCCTCCTTCCCTAGGGGGGGGGGGGTTGCTGGGGGTGTGGCTGTTGCTGGGGGGGGGTTGTTGCTGGGGCGGGGTTGTTGCTGGGGGCGTGGTTGTTGCTGGGGGCGGGGTTGTTGCTGGGGGCGGGGTTGTTACTGCGGGGGGGGGGTTGCTGGGGGTGTGGTTGTTGCTGGGGGCGGGGTTGTTACTGCGGGGGGGGGTTTGTTGCTGGGGGGTGGTTGTTGCTGGGGGCGTGGTTGTTGCTGGGGGCGTGGTTGTTGCTGGGGTCGTGGTTGTTGCTGGGGGCGAGGTTGTTGCTGGGGGCGTGGCTGTTGCTGGGGGCGTGGCTGTTGCTAGGTGCGTGGCTGTTGCTGGGGGCGTGGCTGTTGCTAGGGGCGTGGGTGTTGCTGGGGGCGTGGTTGTTGCTAGGGGCGTGGCTGTTGCTGGGGGCGTGGCTGTTGCTGGGGGCGTGGTGGTTGCCGGGGGCGTGGTGGTTGCCGGGGCGTGACTGTTGCTAGGGGCGTGGCTGTAGCTGGGGGCGTGGCTGTTGCTGGGGGCGTGGCTGTTGCTAGGGGCGTGGCTGTTGCTGGGGGCGTGGCTGTTGCTGGGGGCGTGGCTGTTGCTGGGGGCGTGGTTGTTGCTGGGGGCGTGACTGTTGCTGGGGGCGTGGTTGTTGCTAGGGCCGTGGCTGTTGCTGGGGGCGTGGCTGTTGCTGGGGGCGTGGCTGT